CAGTGCAATAAAATATGAATCGTTAAAAATGTAAAAACGCTCGAAAGAAAAAAAAATCGATCGATTCTTTTACAGAAAAGGTGCTAGGAGCATTTTGTAGGCTTCATTCCTCTATGATTTATAAAAATATTCAAAATGAAAATTCAATAACCGAAAATTGATGGTAGTAAATAGTGGTACATATATACACCAAGACTGAAGTTCCTCCAACAAAGACTCGAGGAATTAATACCTAGGCTTTAAATGATCTTGAATTGGAAATCACTGTTTGATATAGTCATGAATAATTTTGATTTTTATTGATTAACGTCCCTCTCGAGAATTTTTCACTCATATGGAGTCGCCACCACTTGCCGGTGGAGAGCTGCAAATTTTGACCTATACTCGGCACTCAGGGCCATTGAGCAGTGGGGAGTCTTTTTTGTGTCAGCATCTACTGCGACACGGGACCTGTTTATACGGTCTCATCCGATGGACCGGTCTTCACATCCCACAGTGGGATTCGAACCTGAGACGTACATGTAAGGATTAACTTACTCCGCGACTCTAGAGTAAACGTCCTAACTACTGCGCCACGCGGGCAACCTAGTCATTAAAAAAGAACATGATACTTTATATATACGAGGGTGATCAAAAAGTTCGCGAACTATCTTTATATTTACAAAACCGCAATTTCAGATCAGAATGAAATTTGGCACACATACAGTCACATACATGTTTTATAAATAGCATATGTTATATGATGTTTTGCTCTGTGTTTGTGACGTCACCGTGTGAAAATGACGTCAATATGTAGATGACTTGTGACAAAAAATGGATGACTCAGTCGTACTCGAGCAACGAACGGCTGTAAAGTTTAACCTGTATCTCGGAAATTCCTTTGTTGTAGAATATAATAATTTGTACAAGGTTTATGAAGAAAAAGACTTATCAGAAGTTCAATCGTTAATTGGATTGAATGTTTTAGTGAAGGCAGGGAGATGATTGAAAATGATGTTTGTTCTGTTGCCCAGCAAACGCAAGCCGGTAAAAAGATGTGTCCTTTGTTGAGCAATTTGTTTTGAAAGATCGCCAACTTAAAATTAGAAAAATAGTTGAATATCTGAACAATAATATATGAATATCTGAACAATAATATAATTATTAAATCCCTAAAATATCGTTTACTTTAGATTTTAAACACATAAGACATGAAAAAAGAAGACGCCCGTACTTTTTCTACATTGGATAAGCGACGCTCCCGAGACAGAGGACACGGGTTGTTACGGTCACCATGCTAATTCTGGGAAGGGATATTTTTATCCACCCATCTTATTGCCGAGATTTGATTATTTCTGACAGATGGTCTGTTCTTGTTATAAAAAAGTAACTTGGATGTTAAGAAATATAAGACTCGGAAAAATCTCTTAGCTTCTTTGAACAGACCACTACGGAGCATGCCACGTGAACACCTGGATCAAGTGATTCGCGCATGGGCAGAAGAATGACAGATGTGCATTAAAATCGGAGAGGACTACTTTAAAAAAAAAATGGACACTGAAACCTCATTTTATTTCTTTCCAGGATGTAATTCAATTAGTTCGCTAACTTTTTGATTACCCCTCGTAATAATTTATTTTTTTTTTATTTTTTATTTTTTAATCGGCTTAAAATATTTCAATGAAATGCTTGTGAAGATGACCACCTTTATCAAGCTAAAAAGTTCATTTAAGCAATACAAACTGAGAGCAGAGCAAACACGGAACACTTAAAACATCATTAATGAAGTTTAGACCAGTCGCAGTTGCATAATTGTAGGCCGCTCGCTTTGTGATCGGGAGGTCCGGGTTCCTGAGGCCGCGCCAAGCCTAAAACGTATAACATAGGTTAGTGGGTGATCCTTCGCCAAGCGCCGGCCGAGCATTAGAAGTGAAAGACATTGGTCTTTCATATATGACCTCAGAAGAGTATGTCCCTTTGTCACGTTATGCACTGGCAAGAGAAAGAATCCTCACTGCTCATTTACACCAAGTGCCGAGTAAATGTCTAAAGAAACACTTCTTTATAAATGGAGCTTCAGGAGGGCCTGGATTGGTTTTAGTCTTTACATGCTTGTCGATTTCTCTTCCGGTCAATGACTTTAGGCAACACACATGTACTAATTCACTTCTCATAAAACATTCTCAGTATGTAGAGACAAGAAGAACCTTTTCATAGACATTAACTATGAAGTATCATATTGACAAAGCATTTTAAGCTTTTTATCTCGAAATCTTATCAGTTTGAAATTTCTCTTTTCTACTTTTAATTAAAGATGATTAATGGCAATGTCTATATTGTCTTATTTTTTTCTTAACATATGATAATTTTACAAAACATTTCCATTATAATAAAATCTTGTTATTAATGTTTAGAATAATACAAGCTTTAAATGATGCAATCGACGACGTATAATAAATTAACAATAGTTACTTCCATGGACGTGATATATCCCAAAAAGCTTGAAATAAAAGATACCACAGTGTATGATGCGTCTGTTTCATATTTGGATATTTTAATAGAAAAAACTTTTCAATCGTCAACCTCCCTTACTTATTTACATGTACGTAACAATATTTACCTTTACTACCTGCATACCGGTATTGTGTTTATGTCTCTCAGTTGACACAAGGGCATGCTCTACGTACGAACAATCTCTTAAAGGAGGCAAGGTATCGACAAATAAGTTGATGAAACAAAAATATCAACAAGTCTCGTTTAAAGTCATCATTTCGCAAGTTCTATGGTCGATACAATGACCTTGTCATCAAATACTATCTATCATTATGTCATGCTGACTGACGTTTTTCATACTTATTGTTAGGCTATTATTTACAAACTAAATTGCCTACGGACTTTTCCGTTTTTCCCCGATCATGAAAAGGAGCACACGGCTGATGTGACCGGTCGGCAGGGGATGAACACTCCTTCATGGTACATGATCCAGCCTCTGATGTTTTAGAGGTCCGTATTTGCTCTGTTCCTGAAATGTATTGTTTGAATGGACTTTTGAATTTGAATACTGTTCGTTATCTCCTTATTTACTTAAGGCTGAACACGATTCGTAAAAAGCAGAGATTTATGAATGTCTGCCATATTACTCTGTTTTGTTTGTTTGTTTGTTTGTTTTTTGTTAGTTGTACGGCCCCTATATAAGGCGTTCACCTGAACTCGGGTCAGTGGCAGAAGAGAAAGTTACCAAGGAAACTTGCATCAGTTGCAGGTCAGTGCAGTACAAACAAACACAAATACACGTAAACTGCAATAAAATGTAGACAAAAGTACTATAAGATAACCAACACAAACACGTGTTCCTCATTCCCCGCGAACGCAGATACCCATGATAAGAAAGCACTCAGGTGTAACAAATGCGATGGATATACCCCAGTGCTGATACCGAAGATAGCAAAACTTATATGGCGTATGTCGATTTATGAGACGTGATCGGCTTTAAGCACTACATACACTTTACAGCACAGTACCCTAGGTAAGTACTAATAGTACAGACGGAATAAAAGCAATGTAATAGAATGAATTGATTGAATTCTAAGGTATATATACATGTATATATGCAATAAAATCCATCTTAAATCAGACAAGAATACCTTTATTGAGTAACACAGAGTGAATAATTCTTGTCCTCGAAGAAAGTGTGCTATACTGAGTTATAGTTCCGTTTGACTGTGTTTGAGTGACAATGGAATTTTACGATTTACTTTCCCTTTGGTCTTTTATTTACAACATAAGTCTCTGATGAGATTGTAGCTCTACTGATCTGAATGTATAACGAAGGAAAAGTAGCACTTGGATTTGAAACTTTACAACATGCAGCAATAAATAGAATTATGTATCTTAATGTAGTCTGTGTGCCAAGTTATATTAAAATCAAACAAAAACTGCAGGAGGAGTAGTATTTTGAAGTATTTCACAGAAATTTGTACTTTAAGTAACTATGACAACACCATTCACTGAAATCAAAAACCTATACACACTTTCATGTCTCGCAGTGTAGTCTAATCAAATACTAATTTTAATAAATTATGTATCTTAGTGTAGTCTACTTGTATGCCAAAATATATTAAAATCAGACCAAAACTGCAGGAGGAGTAGTGTTTTGAAGTATTTCACAGAAATTTGTACTTTAAGTAACCATGACAACACCATTCACTGAAATCAAAACCTATACACACTTTTATGTCTCGCAGTGTAGTCTAATCAAATACTAATTTTAATAAATTATGTATCTTAGTGTAGTCTACTTGTGTGCCAAGTTATATTGAAATCAGACCAAAACTGTATGAGGAGTAGTGATTTAAAGAAATTTCACAGAAATTTCTATTTTAAGTAACCATCGAAATCAAAAACCGAGGCACTGAATTATGTATCTTAGTATAGTCTACTTTTGTGTCAAGTTATGCTGAAATCAGACCAAAACTGTATCAAGAGTAGGGTTTTGAAAAAAAAATGTTTCCAGACAGACGGACGGACGGACAGACAGACAGCTAGACGGACGGACGACGGACACCTTACTATTGCATAAGCTCCTCTGGTCTCTGACCAGTAGAGCTAAGAATGAACATGCATGAGATATGGCGTTACAGATCCCGTAATGTAAATAAAGTGCAATTTACAGACCAACAAATTCACAACAAGCGAGTTTACTGGTTAAGGGTTAGGAGGTGGATATTAAAAATACAGAGGTTGGTTAAAGAATATGTCTATAATTAGGGGATGAAAGGTCGTTGATTGACCTATGCTGGAAAGTGGCGAAATACATTTCCAAACAGCGCAGAAAATTTTGCGCCGTAAATTGCACTTTATTTACATTACGGGATCTGTAGCGTTAAGGTCAAAGACTAAAATATAAAACCATAACGCTACAGTTCTGCAGCTACATCCTTTGAGGCCATTCACCGGCAATTGGTGACGTCTCATATCAGTGAAAAAGGGGAACGTATAACAACAATGAAGCAATCAAGCAATCAATTTAATAAAATTTGAGATTCACAAATGAGTTAAAGACCATATATCTTTCTTCTATTCTGAAAAATGTTTCAAAAGTCTTCGTGTTATCATGCCAAGTACATTTCTTGAAAGTTAGCTAGGTTGTCAATATACACCGACTAACAGAGTTTCTATAGATCTCATTGAAATGCTCAAATTTTACGAAATAAATACCACTTTATTCGATTATTCATTGGTATTTCCCGTATATATTGTTATTTGTGTTTCTCTCATATGAATATCAATATCTTGTTCTTGCCAAACTTCTGGTCTTCTTTATTCAAACTAGACCGTGCAAATATAAGGAGAATTGAGCATGTTGATGGTACACGTACATGTACATGGTTTAATTCCCATAATCCTTTGTAAATTTGGCAATTGCACCGTGGTATTCGTCATCAGAAGATGGATGTGTGGTTGATAAACTTTTAAGTAGGTCATCCTTAAATTAAACAAAAATTCTAAATTAAATAGGTTTTACTTATAGTCAGAAATTCAAGATTAATTCCACACATACTTTCCGAGGGATGCAGGAGACTTAACCATCTATTTTTAGAAGGTTTTAGTGCTTTCAATAGTTTTTGAATACTTGATTTATACGCAATCAAAATGATATCTTTCCATTTAGATGTATGGAGCCCTTTCCCGGTATTTCGCCTAACATGTATTACTATACATAGATTTATTTGCCGCATTGAATATGTACATGTATTGAACTAATATTAGGAACCCAATTTTATATGCTACGATTCGGATAAATTCAGGAGAAACACTTATTAAACTGTAAACGAGATATTTCTCTTTTACTTTACAACCTGCATCTTTGAATGATTACACATATCACTATGATAAAATAATTTTTTTTTTCATATTAACTATTTTTTGATTTCTTTGAGATTTTGCAGAATTATGTATCAAGATTTTTCCTTGATTGAAATTATTGTTTTTAAGAGAGGTCTTGATTCCATGTTATTTTAAATCCACATTACCTTAAATTCAATTGTATATGAGGTAAGAAGACGGGTTTGAACAATGATGCATAGATCTCTATGATTATTTCTTATGTGTATATTATGTGGAAAATATGACGATTTAAAATTAAGTACCTAAATTTGAAAAAAAAAAAAAAAATACATATATACTACGCTTAAAAACAATCATTATTACCAAAAAAATACCTGGAATTTAGGGGGATTGAACTGGAGATCCCAAACGCAAAAATAGTTCAGCTTTCACCACTAAGCCATGCCCTCCATTAAGAAATGGGGTTTCTGTTTTGTATAATTATATAGCCCCGAGTTAGAGTCTTTCGGAAAATAGGATAACTGGTCTATAATCATTTGTTTATTTGATACAAAGAGAAAATTAAACCAAAAGGATTTTAATAAAACAGTATACTAAGTAATCAAAAAAGAAACAAAAACATAACCAATTCAAATTTTTTTCTGGTTTAAGTTGGTTCATATACACAAATCTGGTACAGTATTTTTTTTTCAATGATCACTCAATAGTTCTCCATATATCCTATGCAAAATATGTAAATTTTATTGATCAATTTCTAGATAATTATTACTATTTTCTTACCAGGTACTCTTGTTCATAGCTAGATTAACTAAATATCATATAATAGATTTTATGGATGTTTGTAAATGCGCTATATTGTAGGCCATGTCGTATACTAGGTGCATTTTACCTCTTCTTTGGAACTCGTTACCTGGCATGTTTTAAGAATTTTTAAAGATAGTATAACTGACCCCAGATTTTTTACCTTACACACAAATGGTACTTAAAGTAAAGTCACAGCTCACCATTTTTAGTTTTGGCAGAGAGATCTGGTCTTCCTTTAAGTCTGACCACGTCATTGCTATAGCTCCTGGAGTTTCTGAGGAACAAGGGGCCCATTTCTCCTCCGTTACCTGTCGATCATTTGCTGTTGTTTCCTGAACCTTTGATAAGAAATAGCTTCCATCAGTTGCTCTTTATTTCAGTATACTGTAACAGTCTGACAAATGAAGATGCCATAACTATAAGTATTTCCTATTCTAACTAAGCAGATAAAGATTCGTTTGTAAATGAGACTGCACTATAGAAAAAAAAAATCTTACTCTCACATAATGCGTAGCTCTTTGAATCAATCGCACCGGCTGCAGTAAAGCATCTCGGACAAGAACTACAATATCAGCACCGGTGAATCTGATAAAAAATATATTTTAATGTCATTTGATTTATAATCAGGAACAAGAAGATTAAAACCAATGAATGAGAACTAGTAATACTCTCGAGAAAAGGTTATAATTTTAGCCAACAATTTCAACTTGATATTAAGTTTCACCAAGAGAAAAAGTATCAAAAGAAAAGCATGGTAAATAAATAATAAATAAAAAGAAGACTGCAATTGTTAGGATGAGAGGTATGTATCAGCATATCTATTTATACACATGATCAACAACAGCTTCAAAATCCCATTAATAAATATATTTTAAACTAAAAGGATATAACGAATTACGCTTATAACGAAGCAAACTCGTCCGTCCTTATAAGCGTGTTTTACTGTAACTCATTTGATTTGTTGTCATGAAAAAGGACTTGATTATCTGTTCAAATTGTAATTTAATTATATATAAATATTTTTAAACTTATTTAATATCAAGCAATATGGTAGTAGGTCAATTTAAGAAATTCTATCCATCAGAATGAGTCAGATCTCACCTTTTGGTCAATGACAGTCAGGAGAGAGAGAGAGAAAGAGAGAGAGAGAGAGTCGACCAAGTCACTTTATCCAGATTAAAAGCTTGATCGCATGTGTTATTTTTCTCCAACCCTTACCCGTGTGTCCGTTTAACTATTTCCAGGAGTTCTTTGTCAGAAAGATCAATGTCGATACCCTTTAATTGATGTTTTAATATATCAAATCTTTCCTTGTCAGCTGGTAAGGGGATTTCAATACGAACAGGAAAACTGTATAAAAGAAAAAAAGAGATTCATTTTTTTTTCTTTCTATATTTTCCTCATCTAAAATTTCGGAGTTAGTTTGACCATAGGGTTTTCTTTTGCCTCAATATTGTCCATATCAAATGTGCATGACACAAACTCTCTCTCTCTCTCTCTCTCTCTCTCTCTCTCTCTCTCTCTCTCTCTCTCTCTCTCTGCAGTCAGAAATAAATAACATTTCAGTTATACATTTCAATTTCATGGAATTAATACCAGTTCAAAACAGTGGGATCTAATTTCCAGGGTTTATTTGTCATTCCGACAATAAGCACACCCTCTGTGCTATTGTTTGGAGATCCTTGCAGCTGAAGTAGAAATTCGGATGCAATCTTTTTCCCTTCGTCTGTTTCTGTAACACTAATTACCTCAACATCATCCAGGAAAATTAATCCTGGTTTTCTGAGCCTTGCTTGCAAAAAAAGATTTCGTAGGACTCTGAAAATAAAAGAAACACCAAAATTAATAATCTAAGCTTACAACATCATTTAAGGAATTTCAAAAATTGACCAAAAATAAATAAATAAATAAATAAATAAATAGATAAATAAATAAATAAATAAATAAATAAATAAATAAATAAATAAATAAATAAATAAATAAATAAATAAATAAAAACCTGACTTGAAGACTAGAAAATTTAAATTCAGATTGGGTTTTTTTTTTCGTAAGTCAGATTTGAATATTTTTTTCCTTATTTCAATCCTTGATCTGGGACAGAATTGATGCCAGCATTGTGAATTTAGATTCGTGCACTTATTACCCATCATTTTTGAGTTCGTAGAAAGAAAGACTGAAGCAGGTCACGTGACTCAGTTCAGTTGTTATAGCGTTAACTAGGTGAGTCTTCCCAGTTCCGGGTTCCTGGAATATTTAAAAATGTAATGAACGTAATAAGTACTAGTATTATTTCAAAGCTATCACCTTTTAAAAAAAAAGAAATTAAACAACACAGTTTAATATATGTAGTGATGTACCCTGTAAAATACTTACCCCGTACAACACGACATGTCCAACATTTTCAGTACCTTCTGCAATGAGTTACAAGTTGTTAAAAATTCGAAAACTAATTTTAAAAGAGAAAATGATGCACTGATAGTACATGTATAATTATACTATTTGTATAATGATGTTTTTGAAATCAAGAGTAATTCACCTTGAATCTTTGGAGATTTTAAAGGGAAAATTATCGATTTCTCAATTCTTTCCTTGACATTTATGGGAATAAATACTTCTTCTATTGAAACGTCTGGTTTCTTCAACATCGTAAAGAACTCTACAAAAATGATGTAATTTAGGAAAGGATAGAATTTTACTTAAATATACATGTACATACAAAATTACAGACATACATGTACACAAACGCATAGAGAGAGAGAGAGAGAGAGAGAGAGAGAGAACGTGCTTGTTTAAACAAACAATCTAATTTTCACAATTAAAATAACAATACTTGCCATCGTCCATTTTGAAAGAATCTTCATTTACCTACAAGCCATAAATACTGCCATGGCAAGGTCCGAAAACTACGTGCAACGAATTGACCTGAATAAGCCAGATGTTTACAACTATAAATAATTGTGAAGCGTATGTAAACAAACACATTTAACACAATCAAGGGGGAAGAGTAGATGTGGCAAATGACTTTTTTTTTTATTATTGTTGATATAATTTTAATTTCAAATGTGTAAGATGCATGTATGCATGAAATTAATGTCAATCAATATCCGTAAAAATTATAACTGTCTATATATGATATCAAGTGATAATTCTTGTGCACGTTTAAATATACAAATGGTTCCAGTCTAGACTACAGTGGCTAATATATTTTTAAATTAACTAGAATAATTAAAATGAGACAGTAATACATTATTACCCACCTTTCTATAAGCTTGTTAAGCACGTATAGAGTTCCGGATACGTTTACATGCTTTACATGTGTACACATCAATCATACAACGGTATCTTCTGGATTTGCACCTGCATATTTTAAAACCATGCCATTGGCTGACATGGGACTTCTAATTCTCTTTTACCATTATATTCTTTGTGCTTATTAATATCAAATATATAGTTACAAAAAATGCGCATAAAATATTTGAAATTATTTGAAGATTTCTGAAAAAGTTATGAGGAAGAAACTTTTCCTCTGGCATTTTATCTCACTAATACAATATCTTGTCAAACAGCAGCAAGACCCCCCCCCTTTTTTTTTTAACTTAACAGTGATAACTCCAGATAAATACGGGAAGGAATCATTGTAAAAGTAAAGGTTTTAAGGTCCCGTGTTGGGTTTCGCCTAAACCTTGATTAAACATATTCAACATTTATACATAGGAGTAAAAAAAAAACAGTCACTGTGATTAATGATCTGTAATATAGAATATATAAAAGACGAAGTTCTTCCTTTCTTTTTAAAGTTATAAATACACGATAAAACATACCCTTTTCCATGTCACATCCTGTATCAGCCAGAGAAATAAATATCAGCCAGAGGGCAGAAGGTCCGAGGGGCTGATATTTCGAGTGCTTATATTGTATGTGATATGGAAACGGTCGGGTAAGTTTTATTGTTTATCATATGCATGAACTTAGTAACAAGTACTTAGTATCAGGTAAAATTGATGCAAAGCCAAAAATAAGCAGTAAAAAAAAATTACTTCCACAATTAAGCGTCCAAAAAGTGCAAGATATTTCAGACTGTCTTAAAAGAAACTATAAGGAAATGCAAGATAAATAGAAATGGTACGTGTATGCTTTCAGTGCATTTGTTAATCAAATTTATTCATCGATATGAAAACAGTCAGTGATAAATGATAAAAATGTATTGTTATATTCAGATCTTCAGATGACAGAATTATAAAGAGGGTGTTACAGAAACTCGCGATTATTCCCTAAATCGAGAAGGACATTTTAAAATACCCACCACCATTTAGAGTTATCTCTAAATATAGATAATGCTACGTAGATGACTTATTTATACGGCGTGTATGTCCAGCTTGTTATAACAAAACATTTGACATTTTACGTTTATTAATTTCATGCATAGCTTTTCCTAACATAGACTGGCGACCTGTTAGTAATTTTTTTTTTTCACATCTAAAAGACTATGGTCACTGTCGCCATATTGCACGAGAAAAGTTTGAACGATAAAAAGCACAATTAATGGCAAGTGCACCTCGCACATCATATTTTGAAAGATGTACTGTAGACAGCGTGCGTTAATATTTTTCAATATATAAAAATGTGTCCAATAATCACGCTGTTGATGCAAATTCCACTGAATCATTCAATTTAGTTGCTTCAAGTCAAATCTGAGCCACTAATTAACGACAGAACAATAATGAAACGAAATGAGTATGAAAAAATTAAACTATTTAAAAATAATAGTACTTTATTTTTTAAGACATCGCCACTAAATAATAGCATTAAATGTATGTCTTATTAGTTTTAGATCACAATATCAAGGAAAACAATTTAATTCTGTATGCATTTAAAATATTACCCATTAACCTTCTGACATTATCTCCTTCTCTCTCTCTCAAGAGAGATGTTACATTGTACTCCCATTATATAAGAAAAAATATTATATACCAGCCATTCCAGAATTCGAACCCATTCTCAGGTAAAAGAATCTTCGCAAACAGTCACGCGCTTTACCACTAGACCAGCTCTGAAAAATCATGTGCTATTTTATGTGCACATTTTACATATCGGAGGGATAATAATTTTTATTCGATTTTTGTGATTTTCAAAAGTATGCCTCTTTGAAACAAAAATCGGAAATGGCAGTTTTGAAGAAAAATCCTGTCTCTTTATGCGGATATTAAATTCATTCTGTTTCAATGAGGCAATTTTTCAGAACAATGGGGATTCCCTATTTGAAAAACAGAAAACTTGACTTATTTTGCTATGTGACTACACTTCATTTAATGAAAAATTAGTAGTTGATATGCAGTTTCTAAATATTGTTCTACATTGTGCTGTATATACCGTTGTATCTGAAAAAAAAATTAAGACCGTTTTCTGTTACTTACATTTTTTTCTCTTAAATTGCTACAACTTTAGGGAAAATAACAAAAGAACTGCAACACCCTCTTTCCACGTGCTGGTACCTTGGATCTTTTTCACGTGATGATGCCGATGATTTCTGTAGAATACACATGCATGTATGCTGCACGGGGCGATAAATGGACAACACAGTTATAAATATATAGAAAATGAAGGAAAAAATACCATTGTGTCATTCGCAGCTGCATCACTTTTGCCACTGTAATATCTAACGATCTGCGTTCATATCTTAGTAAACACTCTCCCATGTTTGCAATTGGGAGTGCCGAGTATTGTAAAATCTTTTTTTTAATAAAGTCATAAATAAATAATGATCTGATGAGAAAATGAAAATAAAATTGAAAAATAAAACCACAATAAAGATTTAGTTTCAGGCAAGTTTTTAAGATATTTAACTCATAATTTTTATCCATGTAATCATTAATGAATTATTTATCCAAACTACTTAAAAAACGACCCATTTTCCCATGTGCTATTTCTAGCACAACCACAAATAAATATCGACCACTTATGAGGTCGAAAAATAAGATACAGTACAAATTTACTTAAGCAAACCAGGACAATAAAATTAATAATGACTAAGTTATTAGATCAAACAATAATTTAAAACTAAAAAAATGTAGACCCCCACCCCCCAACCCACCTCCACTACCACCACCACAACCTAAAAAAAGGTGTATTTTCATAAGTACTGCTTTTTAAAGTATTTATCTTCAAGGTGTGTGATATATAGAGAATAATACATGACACAATCTGTATGATATCCTATATCAACCCAAGACTTCAATATCAGCAAATCAATTCAAATCAATTCAAATCAAAGCAAATCAAATATTAAATTTATGTAGTATTATGCAACTCGAATACTGTAATTTACCTATTTGTACCTTTTTTAACACCCAAAATGTATCATTAAATATTCTGTCGATAAACATCTCCAATAATTCTGTTTTATTAATCTCTTTTATTGTAGTTATCTTTAATTAGTTTTATTGATTTATTAGTTCTATTGTAGGTCATTAATTTGACCACGGTTTGCTCCATCTACCTGATCAATTCATATAATGCTCACTGCGAATGTGAACGGTAGTGAGGGCATGTTCACTCCTCATAAGCACGTGATCCCACTTCTAGTGTATCCACGGGACCGTGTTTTTGTGCTGTTCACAATTCGTATTCTTTACTGAATTAATATGAGATTGATCACTGTTTGCTATCTTCATTTTTTTTTTTTTTTTTTTTTTTTTTTACATTTTACCTTAATGTTGTCTATTACTACTACAAAAGAAGTTGTTTTTCTTCCTCCATTCGATGTCTGGTTTATTAGCCTCACGTAGACTCAAAATTTCACATCTTTGCATTAACAAACAATCTAGGAATAAAGAAATGTATATACAGAAGTGTATATACATTCCAATATTTCTAAAATATCTAACCTAACCAAACACGCACGATAAATGTTGCATCAGGGGATGTTAACCAGAACTGTTTTCAGGTGTTTTTTTAAATTAAAGTTTCCAGATACATGGACAGATTAAGGTATTTAGTACATAGTTCAGGTTCATTCAAAATTCAGATACCACGAATAATGCATGCATCTAAGTTAAAGTGTTTGGAGAAGATCAATTCCAAAGTCGGGTTAAACCCTAGCTTGATAAAATTTGTATAGATGTTGCATGAAGAGACATACATGCACTTTTACTGATTTCTTTTTCATGCTTGCGTGTTGCAGCTGTCCTGCAATTCCTTGAGGATTGAATATTATGAAGTATGTTGAGTAGCTAGTAACGGTAAACCCTTAAATCCTGACCAAACTTACTTCCGATGCTGCACCTGATCTGTATTTCAAAACGAGTGAAAAAGTTAAGGAATCTCCAGTCAGTCCATTACCGATAAACCCTATCATGCCCAAACTAGTATGTATGATTAATATAGTGGTGTAAAGTACTAGATCTACTTCGGGTGCTGCATTTCATCTTCATTTTACGGATGATTAAACACGGTAACGTTATACATTTTAAAAGAAAGTTTATAATTAGGTAACTATCTTCTGATTTTTCCTTTTCTGAATGATTGAACAGTCAGATAAACATTCCTTGAACGGGTCATTTTACAACTAATTGTTAGTGCTGCTCGTATCAAATGTACAACTATGTTGTTTCTAGAGAGGTGCACTACCAGACCAATAATTTTGATGTA